TTCTTTCTTTGGATGTGGACAGCATTTTCCATCCCGAGGCCTCTGGAGATGTCTTAGATCCTCGTAATGCTGAGAAGGGTTCAGTTTAACAATATTAGTCATCACATAACGTGGCTGTTATTGTGCACAAAGTCTTCTTGGTTCCACTCACTTCACTCAGCATCAGTCCATGCAAGTCTTTCCAGATTTTTCTGAAGACAGCCTGTTCATCATTTCTTATAGCACAATAGTATTCCATTACATTCATATGCCACAACTTGCTCAGCCATTCCCCAATTGATGGGCATCCTCTCAATTTCCAATTCTTTGCCACCACAAAAAGAGCTGCTATAAATATTTTTATACATGTAGGTCCTTTTCCCATTTGTCTGATCTCTTTGGGATATAGCCCTAGAAGTGCTATTGCTGGATCAAAGGGTATGCGCATTTTTGTAGCCCTTTGGGCATAGATCCAAATTGTTCTCCAAAATGGTTGGATCATTTCACAACTCCACCAACAATGTATTAGTGTTCCAATTTTCCCACATCCTTTCCAACATTTATTATTTTCCTGTTTTGTCATGTTGGCCAATCTGATAGGTGTGATGTGGTGGTACCTCAGAGTTGTTTTGATTTGCTTTTCTCTAATTAATAACGATTTAGAGCATTTTTTCATATGAAATATGTCTGACTTTTTGTGACCACAATTTGGGGTTTTCTTGGCAGAGATACTGAAATGGTTTGCCATTTCCTTCTCCACCTCATTTTATAGATGAGGAAACTGAGGCAAAAAGGATTAAGTGACCTTCCCAGATTTACATGAGCTTGACCCTTTTAAGGAAGAAGTTTTTTGTGTTAAACAAGTCACAACATGCTCCAATGGAAAGAGCTCCGACTTTAGAGTCTCAGGTGCTGGGTTCATGTCCTGCCCCTTCCCCTTAGTCAGTAAACAACTACTGAGTATTAGAATATTTACTAATGTCCTGGGAGCTGTGCTAGAAGGGCGGGGGGGGGGGGGGGGGGGGGGGGCGGCGGCGGCAAATAAAGATAGGCAAAAAGACGGTCCTTGCTCTTAAGGAGCTCACAGTCCAATGAGGAAGACAACATGCAAACTACTATGTACAAACAAGCTATAAACAGGAGAAATTGGAGCTAATCAATAGGGGTAAGGCACTAGCATGAAGGGGGATCAGGAAAGGTTTGTTTTGGGGGGCGCAATCAGGGTTCAGTGACTTGCCCAGGGCCACACAGCTGGTAAGTGTCTGAAGCTGGGTTTGAATTCAAGTCCTCCTGACTCTTCAGGGCCAATGTTTTATCCCCTTAGCTGCCTCCAGGAAAGGCTTCTTAAAGGAGGTAAGTTTTTACCAGGGAACCCAGGAGGTACAGATGAGGAGGAAAACTATTACAAGCATGAAGAACAGTTAGTAAAAAAGCCCACAGTGGGAGACAGAGCGACCTCAGACCATCTTCCAGAGCCTCCATTCTCTCCTTAAATTCGGACTTTTGTGTCCTTCTAAATCCTTAAGTGTGGCCTTTGGATTGAACCCAAATTTTACAAAACTCTGTAAAACGTGGGGGGGTGGACTTCAGTAGTGTTGGCTTCTGGGGTCTCTTCTAGCTCTAGATATAAAATCCTATGATACTTGAGGAATAAAGTATACTGATTTTACACGTACAAAACTTTAATGGGATCATAGATCGGGTACTGGAAGGAGTCATCTGATCCAACCCCTCATTTTACAGATAAGGAAACTCAGACCCAGAATGGTGAAGACATTTGTTAATGTCTTATCCTTAAAGACAGAATAGGGGGTTTGAACCCAGATCTCTGACTCCCAATCCAGCAAGCTTTCCATACTCCATGACCTTCTCAGTGCAGGAAGGCTTAGTACTCTAAGTTAGATGGTTAGCTTCCCAGCAATCTCTATTGATGGAAAGAGAGCATCGTTAGTCTTTGTGAAACAGGAGATATCACAAGCCTGATCTTTTTGACGTTGGAAAGCAAAAGTTCTAGAAACCCATTTTCTCTAAGGCTGAGAGAAGCCGATTAGAGAATGCAAAACACTGCCCACTTTCAAGGATGCTGGGCCATCCAAAGACTCTGGAGAGCCGGCAGCATGCAGAAAGTCACGTGGTGGTTTTTCAGTAGGTAGGAGCCGGGCATAAAGCCTGGCTCTTTTCAATATCTAAAGCAAGTGAAAGGAAGCTAGAGATTCTCCTTCAAACAGAATAGGAAAAGCCAGCATTAGGTTAAGTAATCAAAAACAGTTGAATTTAGGAAGACCTATAATTTGTACCCAAATGTTTGCGTTTCTTTGCACTTTGCTCTAAATTGTCTAGAGTTCAAAACCTGTTGCAGATACCTTACTAGACATGTGATCCTGGGTAAATTAATCAGCCTCTGCCTCAGTTTCCTAATCTGTACAATGGGGATATTAATATCCCAGGGTTTGTTGTGAGGATAAAATGAGATATGTGTAAAGTGCTCTGCAAACCTTAGAAACCTCTGTATAAATGCTAGCCATTGTTATTATGGAGGCAGCTGGTAGAGCAGGAAGCAGGAAGCTGGAAGCAGGAAGAGTTGAGTTCAGATCCAAGCCTCAGGCACCTATTAATTGCTATGTCACCCATGGCACAGTCACAAATTCTGATTGCCTCCATTTCCTCATCTGTAAAACAGGGATAATAATGGCACCTTCCTCACAGGGTTGTTGTGAAGATCAGACAAAATGATATTTGTAAAAAGCACTTAATACAGTGCCTGGCACGTAGTAGGCACTATAAAAATACTTATTCCCATCGCCTCTTTGTTGAATAATTCATCTTTAAAAAAAAAATTCCAAGGGTGGCACAGTAGATAGAGCATCAACCCTGGAGTCAGGAGGACCTGAGTTCAAATCCCTCCTCAGACACTTGACACTTACTAGCTGTGGGACCCTGGGCAAGTCACTTAACCCCAATTGCCTTAAAAAAAAACCAAGCCACCAAAAAACTTCAATATTCCTTCTACCAGCCTCATCTATATTTCCTTATCCTGTCCAATTCCTTTCTATTTCTTTCTGCAAATCCTTCATAAAGGATTTATGTAACATGCTGGAGACCTTCCTTTGGGTCTCTTAATATATTGTAGGTGAAAATGCAGCTACCACGCACATAGCCCATCCTTGATGACCCATGACACAGATTTTAAAAGTTAATATTAATACTTTTTGAAATAAGTTTATATTTCCACAAAATGGTGGTATTGGCAGTCGTTATCCAAGGTGCCATTGCTTACCTGGTGGAAATTCCCAGTGTTTGGGAGGAAATAAGCAGCATCCGAATAGCTACTGGCCCAAATTCAAGCCTTTAAAATAAGGCACATGTCAACAATCGATAGCTATTTTATACACACACACACACACACATACACACGCACGTGCGCGCACACGTACATGCACACATACACGTGTACGTGCACACATACTCTCTCTTTGTCTCTCAGGATTCAAAACCAGGTAGATTTCTTTTTTCCCACATTTTTTTTTCTTTGTAAATTCTGAGCATCAGATAAAATGAGCATTTCCATATATGGATTGTGAAACAGAAGGAGAAGATATACAGGAAACTGCAAGTCTCTATTACATAGAACTTATTCTTCTTTTTTAAGTAAATAATAAATTCAACCTGTAACTTTCAAAGCTTCCTCGCTTGTATGTGATTCCTTCTGGCCTTCTTTCTTCTAACTTTGAGTGGAAGGGGAATTCTATCACAAACCCCACTTTTTGTTGATTTTTTTTAATTTTGGGTTTTTTTTAGCGAGGCAATTGGGGTTAGTCAAGTGACTTGCCCAGAGTCGCACAGCTAGGAAGTATTATGTGTCTGAGGCAGTATTTGAACTCAGGTCCTCCTGATTCCAGTGCTGGTGTTCTACCCACTGGGCCACCTAGCTGCCCCTAACCCTACTTTTTTCCACTCATCTCTCCACCCTACAGTTGAAGGGGAAAAAAAGCCTTGTAACAAATATATTTAGTCAAGAAAAACAAATTCTCACATCGTCCATGTCCAAAAATGTACGCATCATTCTTTCATCTTGAGTCCATCACCTCTTTGTCAAGGAGTGAGATGCTTGATCATGGGTCCTCTAGAATCAAGATCATCCAAGTGGCTTTCCAATGCCGCCCCGTGCGCTGAGCTAATCACTTGTACTTCCCCCCATTGTGACCTAACACCATTCCAGAATGTTCTTGTCCTCCCCTCCTTCCTTTCTTGTTCTCAGGACCACATTCTCTTCCGTGGCCAGGGAAGCAAAGGATGAAGACAGTACTTAGTGAGCTAGTAGAAGGTTGAAGATAGAGGGAGAGAGAGGTTCAGGCTCTGGCTATGGGGCAGCCTCAGCTAATAAGTTAGTTTCTAATAATAATTAGGGCAGCGAGGTGGTGCAGTGGATAGAGCACTGAGCTTGGAAGCAGGAAGACTATCTTCCTGAGTTCAAATCTGGCCTCAGATATTTACTAGCTGTATGACCCTGCTCAAGTCGTTTAACTATTTGCCTCAGTTTCCTCATCTGTAAGATGAGCTACAGGAGGAAATGGCAAACCACTCCAGTATCTTTGCCAAGAAAACCCCAAATGGGATCATGAAGAGTCAGACAATAACTCAATAACAATGACAACAACTAATAACAATAACAATAATAAGAATAAGAATAAGTAGCCTCTGTCTTGGGGAGGGTGAATAACCAAACTGTAGAATGAGTCATTTGCAAAAGTAGGGGTGAAGAAGGAGGATGACTGCCTTGCCAGCTTCCAGTGAACTTGGGGAGAGAAGTCTGACTAGGGCAACAGACCCCAGCTCCCTCTGTTGGATGTTCAAGCATTGCCAGGCCTCCCCCAAGCACTGCTAGGGTCCACCTGCCCACCCCTCCCAACTGTCTCCCTCACAATGGGGTTCATTGCTGAGGCGGGGGAAGGGTCTTCCCCAGGCAGTGGAGGAGCAGGGATCTGCCCTCCAGACACCCTCTGGGGTGCCTTTCAGCATGAACCAGGTTGCTTGGGCTCCCCATTTCCTCTTATCTCTTATCTCCCCATGCTGTCTTATCTCAGCCTGATTGGCTCAGGGTCCTGGAGAGCCTGGGAGTGCTTACCCAGCAACCATCATGCAAGGTGGTGCTGGCAATCAGCCTGCTGCTGGGGGCTGGAGGCCTCTGCCTCTGGTTCCAGTGGAAAAAGAAGTCCACCAAGAGCCAAAAGGATTGTAGTAAAGAATCCGTAGCATCCACAGCCATAGAGAGTAAGTGTGATCCCTGGATCAAATCCCACTTCAGCCGCCTTTCAGACGAAAAGTTATGTGCCCTGATGCAAGAAGGTGGGAGTGGGGAGGCCATTTCTGCTAGTACCAATGTGAAAGTGGAAACCTGTACCTCAAGGCTTAAAGAAGGGAGAAATGTTGATGTCCACAAGGAATCCTATATCAGCAGGCAGAGGACATCAGGAAGCAGAGTGTTCAAGGAGTCCCACAAAGATTCTGCCAAGTCGAGCTCAGTGGACGAGTCCACATGGGCATCCGTGGCTGCGTGTGTGAGGGAAATCGACGTCACCGGTAAGCACCTGGCGGATTCCATGCTTCAGCGGGCCGCGGACTGCCAAAACCCTGGTCACTTGGAAACCAAGGACATTAATAAAGAGGAACTCAAGGTCCTGGAGAAAGTAGAGATGAAAGTCGTAGGGAATCTCCTCAACCATCGGGAAAACAATGTAGCTGGCTCAAGCAGTGGCTATGGCAGCCATGGCGTTCACAGCCAACGATCATGTGGCCATCACGCACCCCATGCTTATTTTGAAGTCACCTAATCAGGCTGACATCGTCTCATTCTCCCAACTGGGACCACACAATTACAACACTCGAGGATTCTCCCACTACCTCCCCTATCCTTCTTCTGGTCTGAGGAGAGGTAGTTTTCAATGCTAATCAAAGGGATTTCTGGTGATGTGTCTCTGGCCCCATCAACCTCACCTGGGCCAGTGAAATATTTGGACTTTATACAGTGCCTACAGGATGCCAGAGGTGAAAATCTAGCACAGGGAACCATGGTGACCTGCCAAAGAAGAGACAAAAAAGAGGAGAAAGCTGTGCCTTTAGGAACAGACTTTGCCTCTCCTAGATGGCCAGTGATGAAGAAATCCACAGAAGGGAAGTCAGTCCATTGGCTCCTCAGGGAAGGTACCAGGAGCATCCTTCAGGATAACAGAGGGAAGTGCTCAATGACCCAAGACCTGCATCCCTCACCCCTAAAAAAAAAAACACCATGGGATTTAACTGAAGACAAATGCCTGCAAATGAGCCAATAAAACCTTGCAATACTGTGGCTCAGTGTCTGAGGACTTCTGTGGAAGCTGGGAGGTAGCTGGAGAATGTAGCTGATGTTGTTGGATCCCTTAATCAGTTGAGATCTGGGTGGGGAGTTTTGTTCCTTTTCCAGAAGCTCCATGGGAGCTATGATGCTATTTTGTGGACCCAACTTATGCCCCAGGGCACAGGCTCCGGGGAAGAAGAGGAAGTTGCTAGGTGTTGACTTTGTAGGGTAGATAGCAGAAGTCCTCCAGGAGAGTGTGAGCATTGAAATGAGCAGATAGACTTTCTCTTCCTATTCTCTGTACTTCATCTTGTGGAGCCCTGCCATCCCACTCTGATGCCTTTTAATCCTTTCTCATTGAATGAGTGAAAGCCTTTATTTTAGCAGCACCTACTGGGTGCCAGATGCTTGTGCAGAACGCTGGGGCTACAAATACAAACAAGAAAGATAATCCCTGCCCTCAAGGAGCTTCTATTCTAGAAGGGGAAGACAGCACACACAGGGGAGTGGTGGCCAGGCAGGCGTGTTTTGGACAGGGAAGTTTCAGGGATGGTAATTGAAATTAGAGAGTAATTGATTGACAGTATTTTCTAGAAATACTAGTGTGGATTTGATTACTTTTCTCTCCCAAAGCCCTCGTTTGTTGTTGAGTTGTGTCTGATGCTTCATGACCCCGTTTGAAGTTTTCCTGGTAAAGACACTGGAATGGTTTGCCATTTCCTTCTGTAGTTCATTTTACAGATGAGGAAACGGAGGCAAACAGAGTTAAGTGATTTGCCCAGGGTCACACAGCTAGTAAGTGTCTGAGGCCAGATTTGAACTCAGGAAGATGAGTCTATACACTACACCACCTAGCTGCTGCCCTTCATCTCTGTACAAGATGCTTGCCCTGTTTCTGATTCATCAATCCTACTCCCACTTCATTGCTTTATCCTCTGCACAGGTGAATTGTCCTTATGCTTGCCATTCCTTCCTTCAAGAGCTATTGGAGATAAGATCTACCTCTATCTGGTACTATCTCTTCTTCTGTCCTCACAATCTGTCTATACCCAACCCTCATCTTCTCTAAATCCTCCCTTAACCCTTCCTAGTTTTCAGCACAGACCTTTCTCACTTTCCAATCCCCAGGCTACCAAGAGGTCACGGTAGTATGGCAAGTCCCTAGGAGGATGTGGCTGAAACCCAGTCAGACAACTAGCATCTATTAAGTACCTACTATGTGCCAGGCACTGTGCTAAGTGCTTGATCAGAGTCATGATTAGAAATTTTTTCACCTATGACAAGAGACTACATGCAGGGGACCCCAGCCCACCGTCTGGTGGCTTCCTATTTTAACTAATTGTCCTTACCAACTAAATGCTGAATTACTGTATTTCTTTGCCCTCCAAATTCAGCACTCTGGAGAATAAGCTTCAATCACCCTGTCTTCGTTATTGCCCTGTTGGGAATCCTTTTTCATGTATCCTCTGAATCACTGGTCCTAGGTCTAACTACATGTCAGTGATCCCAGTGGATCATCATCAAAAAGTCCTTCTATATGGGATCCAGTAAAGTCAATCCTAGAAGATGTTGCTGCTGTTTCTTTAATTGAATTGAGTTAATGGTAAAAGGTGATGTAAATGAGAAAGATCAACTAGCTGGCTAGGTACTCAGACAACGATCTTGTGGATCACGCTAGTGGGACCACTGCTATAGGTTCAGTGGTGACCTTCAACATCATAGGTTTAGAAATTCAATTTTAACAGTTCCCTCAAGGATGATCAAGGTCTGGGGAGTTTACTTTTGCCAATCAAACTCACTAGAGACTGATTTATAAACCAGATTGAATTAACAGGAATTCTTCTTGGAAGCTATGCCTGATCTGAAAACTGTTACCTGCTGTCTGTACAGGGCCCTCCCTCTTGGGGAGCAGGTACGCTAGGAAACCTAATTACAAAATCAGAAGATTGTTTTGCTGATCATAGAAAAAGAGTAAAGGGAATGGGCTGCTCTTAAGGGATATTTCCACCAAAAATTGGTAGAATCCTTGAATTGCCTTTCTCTTCTTCAGAGGTTTGTTGTTCAGTCATATCTGACTTTTGGTGACCCCATAGATCACAGCATGCCAGGCCTGGCTGTCCTCTATTATCTCCCAAAGTCTGTCCAAGCTCATGTTCATTGTTTCCATGATGCTATCTATCTCATCCTCTGCCATTTCCTTTTCCTTTTCTTCCCCAACATCAAGGTTTTTACCAATGAATCCTGTCTTCTCATTATGCAAAGTATTTAAACTTCAGCTTCAGTATTTGTCCTTCCAAAGCATTAATTTCATCAAGTATTGACTAATTTGATCTCCTTACTGTCCAAAAGACTTTTAAAAGTTCTCCCCAGGGGGAAGCTAGGTGGCCCAGTGGATAGAGCACCGGCCCTGAAGTCAGGAGGACCTGAGTTCAAATGCGGCCTCACACCAAACACTTGACATTTACTAGCTGTGTGACCCTAGGCAAGTCACTTAACCCCAATTGCCTAAAAAAAAAAGTTTTCTACAGCACCGCAATTCAAACATGTTGATTCTGACGTGCTCATTTTTCCTAACACTCCAACTCTCACAGCCATATGTTGCTACTGAAAAAAACCATCACTTTGATTTTATGGACCTCTGTCAGCAGGGTGATGTCCCTGCTTTTAGTATGCTGTTAAAGCACCTTTTCATTTCATGGCTGCAGTCGTCGTCCATAGTGCTATCTGAACCCAAGAATACAAAAGTTGACAGTTTCCATTTCTTCTTCTTCCATTTGCCAGGAAGTGATAGGACCAGTTGCCAAGATCTTAGGGTTTTGTTTTCTTTTTTAGGTGAAGCTTCAAGCCAGCATTTTACATTCTCCTCTTCATCAAGAGGCTTCTTAATTCTTCTTTATTTTCTGCCATCAGATTGGTATTATCTGCATATCTGAGATTGCTGATATTTTTGGCTTTAATTCTGGCTTTTGATTTGTCTAGCCTGGAATTTCACACGATGTATTCTGCATGTAAGTTAAATAAGGTGACAATATATAGCCTTGTGTTACTCCTTTTCCAATCTTAAACCAATCAGTTGTTTCATATTTGGTTCTCAATGTTGCTTCTTGGCCCACATACAGGTTCCTCAGGAGACAGGTAAGATGACCTGGTACTCCCATCTGTTTGAGGACTTGCCACATTTTGTTGTGATCCCCACAGTCAAAGGCTTTAGTGTAGTTAATGAAATAGAAGTAGTTGTTTTTCTGGAACTCCCTTGCTTTCTGCATAATCCAGTGAATGTTAGCAATGTGGTTTCTGGTTCCTCTGCCTCTTCGAAAAACAGCCTGCTCTTTTGGTAATTCTCAGTTCACATATTGTTGAAGCCTCGTTTGCAGAATCTTAAGCATAACCTTGTTGGTGTGTGAAATGAGCACAATTGTTCAGTCATTTGTATATTCCTTGGCATTGCCTTTTTTAAGGATTGGGATGTAAACTGATCTTTTCTAATCCAGTGGCCACTATTGAGTTTTCCAAATTTGCTGGCATACTGAGTGCAGCACTTTTAACAGCATCATCTTTCAGGATTTTAAATAGCTCATCTGGAATTCTGTCACCTCCACTAGCCTTATTGTTAATAATGCTTCTTAAGGCCCATTTGACTTCATTCTCCAGAATGTCAGGCTCTAGAAAAGCAACTACACCCTTGTGGTTATCGGTGATGTTAAAAGCTTTCTTGTATAGTTCTTTTGTATATTCTTACCACTTCTTCTTAATCATTTCTGCTTTTGTTAAGTCCCTACTAGAGATACTGGAATTGTTTGCCATTTCCTTCTCCAGCTCATTTTACAGATGAGGAAACTGAGGTAAACAGAGTTAAGTGACTTGCCCAGGGTTGCACAGCTAGTAAGAGTCTGAGGTCAGATTTTTAACTCAGGTCCTCCTGACTGCAGGCCTGGCGTTCTACCTATCGTGCCACCTATCTACCTCAACAATAAATTATTATCATCGTCATCATCATCATCATTATTACCTACTATGTGCCAGGGCCCTGACTATGCTAGGTGCCAGGCATACAAATATAATGACTGAAATAGTCCCTACTTAAAAGCAGCCTAAATTCTAATGAAAAACAAGTATATACATAAGTATATGACCAATAAATATAAAATGAATAAATACAGAGTGATTAAAATAAAGAAATTTAAGAAGGGGAAGGCACTAACAGTTGGGAGGATTCAGGAAAAGTTTCTGATAGGCAGTGGAACCTGAGCTTCCTCTGAAGGAACAGAAGGATTCTATTAGGGAATTGAAAAGGAAGCATATTGTTGGTGTGGGAGGCAGTGAATGCAACAGCAGAGAGATGGGGGGAGATGGAGTGGTAGGTGTGTTGAACTAGAGAGAAAGTCAGTTTGATTAGATTGGAGAATGTAAGACGAAAGCACAATGAGGCTAGAAAGCTAGATCGGAGTAGGGGTGTGCTGGTAAATGTTAACAACAAGCCCTCTGAAAAAAAGCTTTCACAAGACATAATTCTTAAGTTTAATTTGTATAATTAACATTTTCCTCTATCACTCTTTTAAGCCTAGACAATTGGCAAAAAAAAATATCAAGGTTTAATTTTGTAGTGTTTGCTGATTTCCAAGGTGTAAATGCTCACACTGAAAATTTAGCTATCAGCTTAGATGGTTTGAGCTAGCTTCAGCACAATTCAGGGTTGAGGCAAGGTTGAGAAGGGCTTTAAAAGCTAAACGGAAGAGTTTACATTTGATCCTAGAGGCAAAGGGAAGCCACTAGAGTACCAGGGTACTAACCTGGTCAGATCTACACTTAAGGAAAATCACTGGAAACAATACAGAGAGAAGGACTGGAGTGTTGAATGATGTGGAAACGCAGAGACTTTTGCAATAATCCAGGCGGTGATGGATGATGTCTGAGCTAAGGTGGCAGCTGTGTTAATGGAAAAATGGTGCCACATGTAAGCGACATTACGAAGGTAGAAATGATAAGATTGGAAACTGATTGGATATGTGGGA